TGACATCACCTTTTGGTTTGTGGAGTACCGTTTTGAAGCCTCTGGTTTGATATTATGGTCGTCGCCATGACATTTTGTCTTGTCCATAACAGGAAACAATAGCGGCTCACCTGGTTACACATTGTCCTATTCCAGATAAACAGTACAATTTGTTTCTGAAACAATTTTAGGCAAGAAATAGTCAAGGCAGTAACAGAATCTTGCTTTGTATTTGATCAGCATTGCCTAGTTTGACAGTTTGATCTGAGTTTGGTGCGTTGAGCTGGACACACTTACTGATAATTACCTGTCAATCACAAGGTAGCCCCGCCCTAAAGCTGCTTTATTGTCTATTTGAATCTAAATGGGACCATCATTTACTGAATCATTTACTGAGACCATAAACTCATTTGGAAACTGTTTACTGAGCTCATAAATCAAGTGACAATTCCACTCGGGGTAAACTGTGATGTCCGCACCCCCACTCTGGGTCACCAAAGCTTCATGGCGGGTCGCAAAGCCTTCTTGATTGTAAGGTGTGATATAAATATTACACACAGTATGCCTATATCTCAGAATTTGATTTACTTAAATGGAAAGTAAATTGTCTAATAGAATAATGGCCAAGTCTCAAGTATAAAAATTCCCTAAACGGGAAAAATGTATCCAGATCACTCGTTTTACACATAGTTGTTGCATTTAACGAGTTGATTGGTTAGGTTCCTTGTACAGTTTTAAATACAATATGAAATATCCATAAAATATGTCACTTAGTCAGGGGTCGTCAGTTTACTCAATGATAGACACAAAAAAAAAAAATTATAATTCTGAAAAGGGGTGCTTGAGGAAAAAGGTCAGGAACCACTGCTGTGTAAAACTGAAATACTGAGTTCTCAGAATGTGGCTTTATTGCTTAAAACTGGTCTAAAGGGGCAACAAGCCTGTCTGACTGCTGATAAAAGGAAGAGAAATGAGGGGATATAGAAATACTCAAGAATGTTTGGTTATATTTGACATGTAGACAAAACACTGCAGGGACACAGGATGAGAATGTGGGAAATGCCATTTTTATTTCACTGTGTCTTGGTTATCCAGAGAGCTAAAAGAAATCCAGACTCCTCTCAGTCAGAAGCTTTAGTACACCACCATGAATGTGTCGTCTGTGTGTAAACTGGAAATGAATCAATCCCTGTTACCTTTTCTACCAGCACTTTCTGTTGTTGTCAGATTAATGTGCTACAATTTCCTTGTCTCTTGGCTTTCTCTGCAGTCTTCCTTAAACAAGGCCATGCTGACTCGACAGGCAGCCTGTTAAATCCAGGCTCCTTGGACAGATTTAGTGCTCCACTGGAACATCTGAATCTGCTTTGTAAGGAACACTCTTGGTGTTATAGTTGCCTCTGGAGCCAAAAGCACCAGTTCTATAAAGACAACATTTGGTACTCAATCTAATCAAGTCATCGTTTTTCTCGTCAGATTTTGTTAACTTGCTCAGACTTTTTTAAGTTGAAGCCATGTTAAATTCAAGAAAAGTTGGTGTAAGATGTGCTTGATTTTTCATACTTCAATAGCATGCCTTTGCATTAGCTTCCTACTGTCTCTCCTCTCCTTTACACTGGACTTTTTGACTCCTCCCATTGTTGTTTAACTTGATCAATGACATTTCTGCCTCCTGAAATAATTTCTATCACTCCAGCCTGCACTGCCAAGTGCTACCGAGGTGCTATTGAGAGAAATCGGCTGTTAAATGGAGAGTTGACGGGCCGAGGCTCTGACTTATTGCCGCCTCTAAACAAACAGCTACTACCTGGGAAAAACTGACTATATTGATGTGTGCTGACTGAGTGGAACCCAAGTTCACAGATTAGCTTTTGAGCGTGTCTGCGCCTGTTGGTGTGTGCTTGTCATTTTCACTTTCTGGTTGCACGGCTCCCTGCCTCTCGTGCTATCTTGAGATCTGCTTTTATGCCATAAAAGTGTGATTCGCTTTGTCAAGTCCTCTGCAACAGACACACATAATGGGGCCCTCTCGGCGCCTCTGTCTGTGCAATAATGTGCCTTCACTGATGAGATGGCGAGGGAGACAGAAGAGAGACAGATCAAAAGAGAAAGGGGAGAGAAATCCTAAGATAGATATTTGGGAAAGTTCTGATAGAACAGCGTTTTATATCTGATACGCTCTACCACGATGCTAAAGGTGGAACTGTAGTAAAGGCAGTTATTATGAGGTATAGAAAGAAACATGAAGATTGTCACATGTGAAAACTGTGTTAAAAAATTAAAATTAAAGCTGCAAGCAGCGATGAACGGGACCTCGCACTCCACGCAACTCCACGTCATGTGCCAGCGTAACACGTGCGGACCACAACATGAAAATTTCACACAAATCAGCTCAAAATCGCCATGCAGCGCTTACTTCCTGTTGCCAGTAGGTGGCGCTCCCACTATTATTGAATATTATCACATAGACGTGTTCAAGGCAGGACTCTTATCAAACGTGAAGTTACGTTGAGATCGGATCATGTACGCAGAAGTTATGATAAATCCCTCTTAAATGGAAAGTCATTGAAATTCCACACCACGCCACGTGCACGCCGTTCGACGGAATGTCGAAAATAGCACAACTTTTAATCGTGAATGTCTTTAGATGGCTGTGTCCAAATCTGTTCGTTCAAATACAATGTGTTTGGGATATGAGACCCACTGGATTTTCTTGTTTGTCTGGATAAGATCTACGTGTGTGCCGATTTTTATGCATATCGGTGAAAGGGGCCCAGGATGGTACAGTTTATGGGCCCCTGAGGGGCCACTTTGCTATGCTCATAGTGGACCCCTAAAAAATATGAAATTTTTCGCCGCGGCTGACACGTGCGCTGCGTTTCATGAGTTTTCGAGCATGGGAAAGCCTCCAAATGTGCGTTTGTTTGGGAGGAAAAATAAGAAAAAGAGTTCCTTCAATTACAATAGGGCTTTCACACCGTCAGTGCTCGGGCCCTAATGAGATGCCAAGTAAATGCAAGTCAAAAACATCAGCCACCTGTAGGATGATGAATATGACGCAATTTATTTTAGTAGTACACGTTACTCTTTGTTACTTTGACAGTTGGTAGAGTCAGCTTGTTTGCTCTCTTGCCAGAGGAATATTCTACATATTATTTACGTGCTGTGTTTTTTTTTTTTTTTGGTGCTAGCTAGCCACTGGTAAGCCGACATTCTGGAATCAGTTGGTTTTATTCAGACTTAGAGGGTGTGTGAACCTCACACCTTCATTGGCTTTAACCTGAGTTTAAACCTGACCCCTCCAGATGGTTCTGTGTAACAAACCACCTGGAGCAGGAAAGTTGAAACCTTTTGGAAAAGTGTAGGCACTAAAATACTTTTTAAAAAAAAGACTTTGCAGATGATTAGATGAACCATCTGTCTATCAGCATCTATCACAAGCAAACTTCCACTAATCAGATCAATGAACCATATAACCGTTTTTTTTTTTTTTTTTTTTTTTTTTTTTTTTTTTTTTTTTTTTTTTTTTTTTTTTTTTTTTTTTTTTTTTTTTTTTTTTTTTTTTTTAAAAAAAAAAAAAAAAAAACCCGCGAAAACTCTTCTTTTTTTTTTTAAACGTTTGGGGGGCTCTCTCAAAAAATTGGGGGTTTTTTTTCACAAGTATTGGGGTTTTTTGTTAAAAAAAGTTTTTTTGTTCCTCTCGCTAGCATCCTCCTGAACAGTTCACAAATGCAAAGTCTTCCACCCTGAAGTCATTCAGCTGGGTAGCAGTAGAGTGAAAACATCTTTTCCATGGAGAAAAGCCTTTCAGTGCCGCTAATTCTATTGATCTTCTCGTCAAAATGAGAATATACCTAACTCCAGTTTCTTTCCAGAAAATAAAAGAATTGGTGCTAGCAACCTCTTTAACAGCTGCCATTGTTGTCTTTGTCACTTTAAACTCACTTTTCACACACACCTAGTTTTAGGGGTTGTAAGAAAATATGGTATGGTGATATTTTATTTTGTGAGATTGTATCAATTCTCAAGAACACTTGAATTTTGTGGTTAAACCCCCAACTGCTGGATAGTAGTGTTGTAAACGTAAACTGATAGCTATGATGTTGATGTCACAGCGACTGTTATAAATACAAATCCCACCATCCTGGTTGCATAATAAAGTACTTTTTTTTTGCTCAGATGTTATGCATATGTCTGTATGTTCTTCATACTATGACAATTTTCCTAAAATTAGATATATATTTTTTTTATTGAATGGCAATATATCACGTTGCTTACAATATCCTAATATATCACAATATAATGAATCATAACCTCTGTATCATGATACATATCATACTGCCAGATTGCTGCCAATACTCAGGCCTACCCAGTGTTAAACTACGCCTATAGCTCATGACATAGCTGCCAATAGTTCTTCAAAGGACGCTGATTGGTCCAAACCAAGGTTTTGGCTAAGCTAGCTGTAGAAGGTAATAGCTCCAATCTGTAGCCTGGCTGCTTGTTAAATTAGGACGTCTCTAAATGCAGAAAATGTAACATGCATTTGTTTGAAAGCTTTGGATTTGCTGGATGTAACGTTTGACAGAACTGAGCGGAGTAACAGATAATTATGTAATTAGTCCTGTAGGTCAGAGTAGTTATCTGGATGATGTCACTTTGTCGAAAGAAATGTTTTGACTCATGAAGAGGGATGTGGGGAGAAGTATCACTCTCAGCCTCTTCATTATTGAGAGGCCATTAGAAGACGCTGTTGCTGTTTCTATGAGTGCTGCTCAGGTTTCAAAGGCTTTTTCTCCTCAGGATTCTTCAAACCAAATAGGTTGTACAACATGTCATCAGAACATGTTGATGGCAAAGGTCTTAGCCAATCACTCAATAGTGGGTGTGGATGTCTGATTTTCTCCATGTCATTAGAGAGTGGTTTTCAGATGTTTTTAGATTAGACATAGATTAAAGGAAAACTTTTAAGATGATGATGATGATGATGGTGCTGGTGCTGGTGGTGTCTTCTCTTTCAGTGCCTGGCCGTGTGGGAATCATTCCTCCTGTCTCAGAGGGTGGAGCCCGGTGCACAGAGAGATGGGGAAGACACCTGTTAAAGTGTGGAGATGATTGAAACGTGGAGGTCGCCTGATCAACATAGAGCACACCTTCTGTCATCTGTCCAACACATCTACAATCTAGACTTTAAACCAGTGTCCACTTATGCAAACATGCATCATGTACGAAACAAGCACACTCTTTCTGTCTCTCTCTCTGTCTCTTTTTCTTGCTGTCTGGCCAAAGAGGATAATCCCAGTCTTACCATTCCAGTGATGATTGTGCATCACTAAAACCAACACTGTGATCCAAATAGTGTTTACACACCTCTGTGCCAAAAGTAAAAAGAAGACTTTTGGTTCTTCTGGCTCCACCTTGCTTTCTTATTGTGTTAGAAGACATTGTGGTACTTTAACATTTCCTTCCATATGTGGAGAACAGCTGTGTCCAATCAGGGGATGCCTAGAATGCCAAGATGTGGCGCAATGAGTCCTCACCTCAGAGAAACCCAAACTAATGATGCATTCAGGCCCTCTTCAACTCCATTAATTGGAATTTTCCACCTTTAACATCAGAAAGTTGCACCCAACTGACAGAATAACTGATCGATTCCACTGGGCACAGCTGCAATGCATTCTGTATCGCTGCCGTTCTAGACAACGCTTGTGATTCCACTAGAAGCAGCTCTCCACAGACAATTCGCTATTTTTGTGCAAAATCTAAAAGTTCCAAAGTAATTTGACAAAGAGTATGAATTTGAAACCATGGATCAGATAAATCGTTGATAAAAGTGAAGTTGTTAGCTGCCTTTTAAAAGTGCTGCTGACTTACAGTAATGTTACCATGACAGCAAATCTGAAGTTACTTGTTAGCTGTCAACTCGGTGAGGCAGCAGAGGAAGCCACCATGAATGATTAGAACATCATCATTGTCATCATTGTTAGTTTTTATTTGTTATTTGTTCCAACTAGACTTTCTTTCCAACTAGAGTTTTTAGTCTTCTGTTAGTATTTGCTTTATGTAGTTTTTTTGGTATTCATTTTAAATGCAGATCATTAAATGCAGACTTCCCCTGAATTGAGACACAGCTACTGATACTAATTAACCCTTAACCTTAGTATAGCATGACCACTGTTTTTCTCCTTAATCTTAACCAAACTACTTTGATGGAGCTCAGTTGGTGACATGGTTCCGAGAGACTTGAAAAGAGTAGTTTGACAAAATGATCTTCACTCAAAGTCTTAATAGGTGACGTAAGTATGGCCGCAGACACATGTTATGCCAAGATCAGACTACAAGATCAGCCTGAATGGTCTGACCCAGCAGGCCTCGTAGGAATGAAAATGGGTTTTGGACACAACAATTTCTCTGACATTGTGGAAGACAACCGACGCAGCATCCCAACAAAAATAAAACTTGCATGTCAGAATTTTATTGCTGTCATTATTTTGAAAATTTCTACAACATGTTCAGTGACATTGACCAATAAGTGCTCTTCAACTGTGAACATGAACAAGAGAAAGACTATGACCCTTGCATCAGAAGCAAGAAACCAAATTGACATCTGCTTCTGCAGGATGACTGGTTCCAGCTTCACTGTTGTCCATAAGACCCTGATTACATAAGATTTTAGTGCTGATAAGGGTTGAATTAAGTTTAATATACACTGCCACTTGGTCTGTGGCCCCTAACTTCCAAATATGATGCGAGAGGAGCTGGGGATCAAACCACCAACCTTCTTATTAGTGGACAACCCACTCTACCTCTGAGCCACAGCTGCCACTAGCCGTCAAGCTAGTAACAATAAATATGCATCCTTCGGTTAGACTTTCAAAATAAACCTGGTTAAGATTGGGAACAAATACGCAAATTAGGTTACGAACCTCACTCTCTCTCTCCCCCCCAATTTGCTGTTAATGTTCAGCCGTCTTATCAATAAATAACACATTACATTTGAAGAGGAGGGCCACTGATCAAGCTGCAGTATTTAACTGCTTGGGAGTGAGACTTGGCTTGTCCACCAAATTACCACTGGTTTTTGAACCAGTTACATTCAAGATTCTAGGAACCTTGCTGCTACACTAAACCAGTCCTTCCACCAGTTTTGAGTGGAACCATTGAAATCAAGGATGTGTTATCAACAGAGGGCACAATACACAACGACCTGTAGAATATGACACGTCCACTTTGGTTTTTGTTAACCGATTTATGTTTGATCGAATGCCTCGAACGGTTCAAAACAAGGTCCTTGCACTGGAACTGAGCCGGTTCCCTGTTGGTGGAAAAGGCATGTCCACGTGGTTCTCTTTATACTACAGTGTGTCCAGTCAGCGTTGATGGTAAATGTAGTCAATTACAGACATACATTTTTCAGTGCGTGCTGTATTGACCGAGGAATAGCTGTAAAATCTCGTATTCTTCCGGCACCAGCACTGTCATTTGACACATACAGTGATGTAATGGCGTTGAGGAAGAACTACAGGCTGTTTCAGCTCGGAGGTTGAAGGTAACAATATAGCTAAGTGAAATTTTGTTTATTAGCACCCAGCTGCTAGCTTAGCTTGCTCATTGGCCGTGGGCATCAGACGCTTGTGCACAACGCATCCTGAAAACTCAACTTTCTCTGTCAGAAAAGTACGCACTGAGGAATGTATTGCTCCATTTAACATCAAAAATGATTGGACATCCACATAAATGTGTCAAATTTTACCTTTAACTCTTGATGTAAGTGGAACAGTGAAATTGGTCTCATCACACATGGCGGGCTCTGGGGTTGGTGTCAAACATGAAGTCTGCCACGTTTTTTATTTTAGCTAAGCTACAGCAATATGTTCTGATCTCCTGACACATCAGCCATCTGAATATTGTGAGGTCTGATCTTTGCCAGTAAAAGATCAAATTTCAATTAATGTGCTGCCTTTGACTGAAAGCAGGTTCAGGTCTTGTATCTATAATGTGTTTTCTCATTAATTTACTGAAGAGGAATTGGCCTGGCTAGATTCATGCAAAGACTATACGCCAAAAAAGTAATTTTCTTAAAAATTAGCTGAAGAAATTAATTAAACAACACATTTATACATGGAAGCCCATTTCTGCCAATGTGATAAAAAAAAAGGAGGAATGAGAAACTTTCTTAAAATATTATCTTAGTATCTTAAAATAATGACTTTGATACTAAGTAATCCTTTTGAGATAAGTCATAATTTTTTTCCATACTAAGTCAAAATGTTAAAGACGTTTCTCATTATTTTGAGATACTAAGTCATTCTTTTGAAAAAGTTTCTCATTATAGTGACTTATAGAATTGGCTGAATTGGGCTTCAATATTTAGATGACATCTGCATCCATCTAAAGTTCCTTTTAGGCTAACATGTTATATCAGAATGGTATGAATAATGCACATTGATCTGCTAAACTCTGAGAAGCCTTAGGGCCTGTCCTCACGAATACGCGACCTCACCCAATACGATGTCGTTTCGAAAAAAATCTCCGTAAACACGGCGTCGTTTCCAGAAATATCTGCGTCCACACGGATTCACTGAAACGACCCGAAACGCTGTAGTACATATGCCAGGCCTGTATGTGGCGCTGTGACACCGCCACACCAATACACTAAAACCGGAAAAGAAGCCATGGAGCATGCGCTGTTTACAAACAAGTAGTAGTAGTCCGCCGTTGTTGTTGTTATGATGCGTCTAGCGGCAGCGGCTGAGGTTAAAGGCTAGAGAGGCGGGGCTAATCCGTCATTGTTTCGGAAAAAATCTGTTTCGCCGTCCTGACGACTCCGGGCAATCCGGCGTTTTTGGATTTTCCCACTCTGGGACCCATTTCCAAAAAGTACCGTTTTCAAACCCCGAAAACGCCGTATCCGTCTGGACGCGAGGCCGATAGGATAAAGTATTTATCCGGAATCGAGAAAAACGTATTCGTGAGGACAGGCCTTTAAATCTTTATGAAATTCTCTCCAGAATGTTTGTGCCGATAGAGATTTCACGTTTACATGTCTGATGAAGACTCCAGTGTCTGCAGAGTCTTTGTAACAGAAAGCTTGAGTTAACCTTTTATACTGATATCTTTTTTCTTTCTGTTTTGCTTTTATCATTGTTGATTGTAAAAAAAAAAAAAAAAAAAGTCTGAATAAAATAGATTTTGAGATGTTGAATAATAAAGACAGATTTAACACTAAAAAGCATTGTGGCTGTTTTGGCATGAAAAGCAGCAGAAGTGATGGGAAAAGTAAAGCTGTTGAATGTCTCTTGCAGGTATTCAGACTCAAAGTGACTCATATATCAGCTTTTTGCAGGCTGTTTATCCACAACAAGCGTATTGTCTCCCCCAGTGTCTCACAAAGTTCTGCTAGCTGGCAGGGCTAATCTTCAATACAGAAACAGTCATTCTCTTTATTCCTCTTTTCATGACAGCATATCGATTGAAACAAGAATGTTTTTGGAGTAATGATTATTGCTCTGGGGCCAAACTGAAAACCTCTCTTTAAAAAAGGTTTAAGCTGTTGAAATAAATCAATCTGCTGGAGTTTGGGTTTATGCTTATCGGTTTTCAGGTGCAGGAAAGATCCCCATAATGAAGAGTGGTTCAATGAAGTGCTCAACCCATTTCCACAACCGCTGTCAGACGTCTGGAGTTTGTGTCAACTGATGTTTGTTTCCTTACGTTTCCAGCTGTCTCACTGTTCATAAGCTACGTTTTTTTTAAAGCTGAATGGAGGGTTTAAAAGTTTTCTGAAAACTGCTGGCATGAAAAAACCACTACAAGCACTGAGAAAAAGATTTGTGGCTTTGAGAGAAGAGAGTAAAGGTGTGTTTGTTTTAGAATAGTTTTTAAAAAAGTCAAGCTAGATTCAAGATTCAATTCAAGTTTCAAGATTCAAGAAGCTTTATTTATCCCGAGGGTGCTGTGCAACAATTGCGATACAAAAGTGGAGAAGTAATGCAAGAGTAAGAAACAAGTAACTAAATGCAACAAAGTGCAAAGCACAATAGGATAAAGCTAACATAAAATAAAGTACAACAGTAACTAAATGCAACAATGCCACAAAAATGACAGTTAACGTAGGTAAATATAATATACAACAATACGCACTGTGCAGTTAGCCGCATAAATTGAAACAAAATTAGTACAACTAAATATAGTGAGTGATTGTTTAAAGTGATAAAGTGATAACATTTTATCAACATAGTACACACAACATAAAGTTACGAAGTGATATGATGGGTAAAAATGATGAAGTGACAAAGAGACATTTGGCTCAGGACAGTGTCTCCACTGTCCCTCTCGCGGCCGGAGGTGGCCACAGAAAGAAAGGACTTCCTCTGGCGTTCAGTGTTACATCGGGGGGGAATGAGTCTATACAGGGCTAAATAATATGAATGATATTACAGGGCTAAATAATATGTCCTGCCCAGTTCATTTACTAGGCTATGCTACAAGTTAGTCTGTTTATGCTGCCAGGTTTCATCCCATTTCAGATGTAGTTCACTTTCCTCTTTCAGAATTTATATGCGCTGACCATGAGGTGTGGTACTTTCACGTTAGTGGAATGGGGTTCATCTCCCAACTGTGTCCTTACTAAAAGACAAATTATATGAAAACACAATAGTTATCAATCTACACATTTCACAACAAACCTAAATGTCCCTGACGTCCCACCTTCAAACACAACCTCATTGGGCCATCCATGAAAAAGCTACTTAACCTCCCATTTTCTATAGCAATACATACTTCCTACGGGCACTGCACTAGTGTAGTGTAAAAGCACTTTGAGTGGTCGGAAGACTAGATAGGCGCTTTACAAGTACGGGTCCATTTACCATTTACATGTGTGCTGATTGGAACTGTATACTGGAAAGAATCAGAAAAGAGTCTTAGTGATGGTGTAAATAAAGTTTTTACTGTGAAAAAATATGACCCTACCATAAAACACCTGTTTTTTTTAATGGAGTTTGGTTTGATAATTCACATACTGAACTGACCTACTTTCTAATAATGAACCTTGTGAACAGGTAACGCACGAGGTGGAAATAAAACCCACCTGTTTTCTTTTTCTGTTAGCTCACAGTAAAAGGTCGATTAATAAACACAAACGGCGGTTCTGCTTAATCACAGCGATATTAGTTTACAGTAACGCAACATTGGACAGACGACCACAACAGTCAAAAATAGTATCAGATATCAGATGTGAGATTCAGTAATGTAGTTGTACTACAGCTTGGGCTGCTTTCACCCAAAAACGGGGTGGGGCCTTGAAGCAAGACTAAAGTACCTGGATGGATTGCGCTCAAACCACTAAAAGCACTAGGAGGATTGTCTGTCTCATGTACTACTGTCAGGATATAGTGAAAGTTTCAGAAAATATGACAAAAAATTACCTACTGCAGCTTCAATATGAAAAAAAAAAATGTTAGTCCTGCT